AGGGGTTTATTTAAATTATGTCCAACAATAAGAATGAGGGGACACCAGCTTCATAACTAATGGAGGGGCAAAAATGACCAAAGTCCTCAAAAGGAGGGTGTGACGGGGCAGCACCCGGCGCGGCCACGCCCCACACTCGGGCAGACCCCGGGGCCCACCTGGGGGGTCCGGAGACGTGGCCGGGCAGGAACAACTCCGGCGCGGCCAGGACGGCCGGTGGGGAATGGGAGGGGCAAACCCCGACGCCAGCTGATGACATCTCCGGCATCCCCTCGCCGGGGGTGGGGCCACCGTGCGGTGGGGACGTGACGTGGGGGCGGGGTCACGGGCCAGCGGCGGAGGGAGTCCATTTGAATGGGGACCCCATTTGAACGGGTGGCGCTCGACCTGGTGGGACCCCTGGAGAAGTCAGGCCGGGGCCACACCCACATTCTAGTCCTTGTAGATTACGCAACCAGGTATCCGGAGGTCGTCCCATTGCGGAAGACGACCACACAGGCTATCGCAGAGGAGCTGGTAAAGATATTCTCGCGGGTTGGCCTACCCAAGGAGCTGCTGACGGACCAGGGGCCGAACCTGACCTCCAAAATTATGTCGGAACTATGTAGGATCCTCCAAATAAGGAAGATTCGGACCTCCGTGTATCACCCCCAAACCGATGGCCTGGTGGAACGTTTCAACCGGACCCTGAAAGGTATGTTACGCCGGTTCGTGGAAGAGGACCCCTGAGGGTGGGATAAACTTCTGCCGGCCCTGATGTTTGTCATCTGGGAAGTACCTCAAGCGTCCCTTGGGTACTCCCCCTTCGAGCTGTTGTACGGGAGACGGCCCCAAGGTATTTTGGACCTGGTGAAGGAAGGATGGGAAGCCCAGGCGTCCCCCGCCTTGGGAACGGCACGGTACATGGAAAACCTGCGGCGGAACCTAGGGTCCCTGGCGGAGTGGGCGAGGGACAACTTCCTACGAGCTCAGGAGGGACAACGGACTCGGTATGACCAAGGGTCCCGAATGCGGACTTTCGCCCTGGGCAACCAGATGCTGTTATTACTCCGAGAGGGAGACTCTAAACTACTGGCCCGGTGACAAGGGCCCTTTAGGATAACTCAGAGAGTAGGGCCCGTAGACTACGAGGTCCTGATAAATAGGGTACGCAAGGAAACCCAGATATATCATGTAAATCTCCTAAAAAAATGGAACCCCCGGGATGCCCTCCTGATCGAACCCCTAACGGCGGACATAGAGTTTGGTCCGTGGGGGGACCCAGTGATAGGGCTGGAAGGGGCCCGCATGGGGAAAGGGTTATCCGAAGAACAGAGAAAACAACTAAGCCAGGTATTGCGGCGATTCCAGCCTGTGCTGATGAGCCGACTGGGGCAAACCACAATGATTTGCCACAATATTATAAAGGAGGCGGGGAAGACAATACGGGACAATTTACGTCCCCTTCCCCGTAAACTTTGGGACACGGTGAAGTGCGAGTTGAGGGCGATGCAGGAATGGGGGGTGATAGAGGAGTCTCATAGTGAGTGGAGAAGCCCGATTGTGTTAGTACCAAAGGCAGACGGGTCGACCCGATTTTGTATAGACTTCCAAAAAGTCAACGCCATCTCCCGCTTTGACGCATACCCGATGCCCCGCATAGATGAATTATTAAATTGGTTGGGGCAGGCCAGATACCTGTCCACCATAGACTTGACAAAAGGGTATTGGCAGATCCCGCTAGCTCCCGAGGCCCAGGCCAAGACGGCTTTTGCAATGCCGTTCGGTCTATACCAGTTTACCAAAATGCCCTTTGGTCTGCATGGAGCAGCCGCTACCTTCCAGAGGCTGATGAACCGCGTGCTGAGGGAACACCAAGAATACGCAGCAGCCTACATAGATGACATTGTCATCTTTAGCGAAACCTGGAGCCAACATTTCCAGCACATAACGGCGGTACTAGAAGCGTTGCAGGAAGCCAGGCTGACAGCGAATCCCAAGAAATGCCAGTTTGGGAAATCCGAAGTATCCTACCTGGGGTACACCGTAGGGCAAGGGCGACTGAAACTGCTGGTTGACAAGGTACAAGCCGTACCCCATTCCCACAACAAAAAGGCAGGTGCAGCAGTTCTTAGGGTTGGCGGGATATTATAGAAGGTTTGTGGCGAACTTCTCGTCACTAGCCGCTCCCCTCACGGACCTCACACGCAAAGGTCAACCCCAGAGGGTGAAGTGGATGCAACCCTGTGAGGAAGCCTTTAGGCAGCTCAAACAGAGGCTCATAACCGCCACCGTACTGTCCCAGCCCAATTTTAAAAAGCCATTTATTTTACAAACAGATGCCTCGGAGGCAGGGCTGGTGGCCGTGCTAACCCAGGAAGAAGGAGGGGAAGAGCACCCCATCTTATACCTAAGCCGGAAACTCTTCCCCAGAGAGAAAGGGTATGCGACCATTGAAAAATAAGCCCTAGCACTAAAATGGGCCATTGATGCACTACGATATTTCCTCCTAGGGGACAAGTTCACGCTGGTGACGGACCACGCACCACTCCAATGGATCCGTACAATGAAGGAGACGAATCCAAAGATATTACGCGGATACCTGAGCCTGCAGCCGTATAAGTTTGAAATAAAGCACCGACCTGGTACCGCTAAGGCGAACGCTGACAGTTTGTCCTGGATACCGGACCGGGAGGGCGAGAGGGCGGCAAGTACAGGGAGGAGCCGAGGGGAGAGGAATGTGACGGGGTGGCGCCCGGCGCGGCCACTCCCTGCACTGGGGCAGACCCCGGGGCCCACCTGCGGGGTCCAGAGACGCGGCTGGGAGGGAACAACTCCGGCGCGGCCGGGACGGCCGGTGGAGAATGGGAGGGGCAAACCCCGGTGCCGGCTGATGACATCTCCGGTATCCCCTCGCCGGGGGCGGGGCCACCATGTGGTGGGGATGTGACGTGGGGGCGGGGCCACGGGCCAGCGACGAAGGATTCAAAAGGGGGCCAGGAAGGCCCTTGGGGAGGAGGGAGCGGAGGCGGATTGAGGCCTAGGGAGGAGGCCAGGCCAGGTAAGGGCTCTCCCTCAGCGCGAACCGAGGAGGGGGAAACGGACTTCCCTCGGGGGGGAGGGAAGAAGTGGCCCAGGGCGGGGCCGCAGAACCCAAGAATGGAGGGTTTGGGGTTAGCTACCCCCTCCAGTGGCATGGACTCGACCGAACTAACTGGACGCCGCGTAAGGAACCCCGGAGTCCCGTCGCAGCTGGGGCGCATGGCCCCGCAGCGGGTAGGGGGGCTTGTGATAGAGGGACAGTTGGGAAGCACAAGGCTTGCTGTTGATGGTTTTTATTTTGTCATTTAGTCAATCAAATGGCCTGAAGCAATATACTGACTTTAGACTGTGCTGCATGCTAACAAGACAGAAAGGAAGAGACATATTTGTCAGCCAAACTAGTTCTGAAGCAGCACACGAGATGGAGAGAGCAACGCAACAGCCACTGCCTCCCACAGCGCCCCATGGGACTGTACTGCAAGAAGCACTCTGCCCTTTTCAGTCTGGAAGTGTGTTCAGCGAATAGGCAATGCTACTGCAGCTCATGGCTCCGATGCCATTCTGAGCCTGGGCAAGGGGTGGAGAATTTCATCTCTCTATGCACAGAGGCTGTGCATAAACAGAATTTGACCTAAGGTGTTTCTTGTATTGATGCCCAGAGCAACAGTTCTACAGCTAGTGCTACCATTCAACCCCCTTTATTCCCTGAAAGACACCCAGATCAGTTTTCTTGCCAGGACAGTAAAATAGAACACTAAAGATTTCATGCCAAAATGCCACAGGAGTAACAGGAGAAGATACAAGTGTAGTGCTCACAATGTGGTTAACAGAGCCATGCTTTCCACTGTGCACACAAAGGAAGCAGAGACAAAAGTAAACATTGCCATCTCCTTGGTTTCAGCACATGCAGTACTTTTACCTCTGGGTTTAGTGCTACCAAGTCAAAGAGCTGAAGAGTCATCAGGAATGTCAGATTTGTCCAGTTAGAGATTGTTTTTATGGCTCAATAACTGGGATTCCTCATAGGCTAAGGAATTTCATCTCTACAAGACTAAAGTAATAGTCAAAGATATTCACAGTTTGGAAAATGGGCAATACCACAAGGCCAGATCAGAAGCCAGAGCAAGTATACCTTATGGCAAGTCAATAGGAGCGATTAACAACAACAACATACTGAGAAACTTGAACTCCAAGTCTAAGATGCTGAGTTACTAAGGATACATCTAGACTACATGCCTCTGTCACCAGAGGCACGTAGATTAGGCTACCAGGCATAGGAAAATGAAGCGGCGATTTAAATAATCGCCGCTTCATTTAAATTTACATGGCTGCTGCGCTGAGCCGACGCTGAGCCGATCAGCTGTTTGTCGGCTCAGGGCGGTAGTCTGGACGCGCGGGTGTCGACATCAAAGGCATTTGTCGATCACCCAGGTATGCCTCCTGGGATGAGGTATACCTGGGTGGTCGACAAATGCCTTTGATGTCGACACCCGCGCATCCAGACTACCGTGCTGAGCCGACAAACAGCTGATCAGCTGTTTGTCGGCTCAGCGCAGCAGCCATGTAAATTTAAATGAAGCGGCGATTATTTAAATCGCCGCTTCATTTTCCTATGCCTGGTAGCCTAATCTACATGCCTCTGGCAACAGAGGCATGTAGTCTAGACGTATCCTAAGCTATCATACCAAGAGCAGTCAGAGGGGAGTTCCAAAACAGAGGGAACTGGCGGTTCGCTACAATAAAACCAGAATCACAAAATGCATTGTAAGTTTGAATACCTATTTTCTTGGTGCCACCAAGTGGCAGCATTAGGAATTGTCACTTTATATGGAAAGGAAACCTTTAGTGACACTGTGGCACCCACCAGTTTCTAACAAAATTTTATATAAATTAAAATTGTTACACAAGAAAAAAATACTAAACCAAGGGATAATTAACAAGGTGCATGACCCTGCGGTACTGGAGTCAGGGCAGGGGCTGGGAGGGCTCAGGCCAGAGGAGTGCAGGATTCAGGACAGGGGGGAGCTCAATATGGGGGGCTGAGAGGTCAGGGGGGGCAGATCCTCACTGAGTGGAGGCTGCAGCTGGGCTGCCCATTCCACTGGTTCTTTGCAGGGGGTGGGCCCAGGACTGGGCTGCCTGGCCCCACAGGAAGCTGCTCGCTGGGAGGGGGAGGAAGCAGAGCTGGCCTGCCTGACCCCTAGCCAGCTAGCAGCTCTTTATGGGAGGAAGAGCTGGGGCTGGGCGAGGGGGGAGCTGGAGCTGTGCTGCCCAGCAGCAGCAGGGGTACGGGGGCCAGGGCAGCTGCCTGGCAGCTGCTCACCTGGCCAGTGCTGCAGCTGAAAGCCAGGTTTAGGGGCCATGTGGTGGCTCCAGCCCTGGCCAGGCCTCGGCATCCAGCCCGCCATAGCTGGAACTCGAGACAGTTTCACCACACCACAGCTCCACCCGGCAAAGTGGCGTAGGGCAGCCACGCGGCCCCACCAGCTGGGATGCAACATCCAGCCCCCCGTAGCAGCCAACGAGGCTGCCCCAGCAGAGACAGTCTCACCACACTGCGGCTCCAGCTGAAGCAATCAGGTACAGGGCAGCCTCCTGCCACCACGTGGCCTTGCTAGAACCCACCAGACTGCCACCACCACCACCCACCTTCTGGTCCAGCAGGAAAGTGAGTGGTGGCGAGTGTTGGTGCACGGCTCTGCAAGCGGGTCTAAAACTTGTGTGCAGCTTAGAGGGAACCCTGCTTTTGACCACACCCTGGGATTTTGAAACTGAAGGGTCTGAATTAGCCATGTCACTATGCCAAAGAGACTAGCAACTTCCCTGCCAGGCTGAGAAAGCACCAGAGAGAGCTGGATAGGAATTTAGCTGGCTCTCCCTGAGCCTAGGGGGAGAATCTAGCAAAGGATGACTTCCTCTGTGAGGGCCCGGATAGAAGAGGGAAGTGACAAGCTCAGAACGAGCAATCGGGGACAACTCCCAGCTTCCCAGCTCCAGCCCATTTTTGAGCAACTCTGGGGCTGCTCTAACCTGGATTAGCTGGCTATGGATTCCAAGGCATTACATGCCAGCAGGCAGCAGAGTGAAACACATTCCAGCCACATCCGCTCCCTGATCCCCAAACCCTAGCACAGAGGACCTGTCATATGAGCAGAGAAAGACTTAAGTGCCAGCTGTACTAGCTCTGCACCAACACTGAACTCTCCCACACTGGAGGCATCCCCAGCACAGAGTTTCAGCAGTTACTACTGCTGCCCATGTGGTAGAAAGGAAGCAAAAAGGGCAGAAAATTCGTAAAAAAAAAATACTAACATAGGAATGCTCAGCAAGCCCAATATCCTGACTTCCAAGAGTGGCTAGTTCTAGACGCTCAGAGGGAATGAAAATAATAGCAGAATTACCAAGTGATCTATCTCCCATCACGCAGCCCCAGTTTCTGGCAATCAGAGGTTTAGGGACACCTGAAGGATGGGGTCGCATCCCTGACCATTTTGGCTAACAGCCATTGACTGACATACCATCCATGAACTTTCCTAATAATTTTTGAACCTTGTCATACTTTTGGCCTTCACAGCTTCACTGGCAACCGCTTCTACAGATTGACTTTGTGAAGAATAATTTCCTTATGTTTGTTTTAAACATTCTGACTGTTAATTTCATTGGGTGACCCAGGGTTCCTAACTTAAGTAAAGAGGTAAATAACACTTCCGTATTCACTTGCCCCACTCTTGCTGGAGGATCCTTTGACTCTTCTAAAATAATATTTCACCATCCAGCTGAAAATCCTGGATACCAATGGGTTAGATCTTAGAAAAGACGACTGGGAATTAGGACTGTCCAAAATAGCTATGCAAAGAGCTAGCTAATATTAGAGAAAGGAAGAAGTCTCTTAGTTCTTAGAGAAAAACTCTAACAACTGTAGCAAACTAGGAATTCAGACAGATTAGTCAAAAAGGCCCTTTTATGCAGACGCTGCAAATAAGAGCCTTGCATTATGGTTAAAAAAGCAGAAGTGGTTATGACAAAATGGAAGCAGTAGTGAAACACACAACATCCTAAAAGAAAGTATATTAACAAAGAATGAATAGCAGGGCTGCCACCAACAGAGATTCCCCACATACTCTGTGTCTGAAATGAAAAGCATGTTGCTGAGATGGATAAGTAGAGACAAAGTGCCAGTGAAAAGCTATGACAAGCAAAGAAGCAGCCAGAGGAAAGGCAAGAGGTAGATTTACGAACAATGAGTTGGCATGTTTCTAGGCGAGGTTAAGCGCATACTCTTGGCCCCTCACCTACATTTTCACCAATACTATTCCTACTGTTTTCTGCTTTACAGCATACAAAGCAGTACTCAGGCAACACCCATTCACAGAACCATACAGGGACCCCTCCAGAAGATCAGTGCATGTGTCTTTATGAAATACAGTAAAAATCTGAAAACTGGCCTGGGTGGGAATACTGAAGTTAATGTCTCGATCTGCTCAACCTGTGACTTTGCACTGTCAAATAAGATATGGCCATGGAGTCTAGTCTTGTATTCTCAGCAGGCTGGCACAGGTTGTGAGTTCTGCACAGGCTCTGAATTCACTCCTACTGCTCTGCTGCAACTCCTGCAGCCATATGAGAAGTTAACAGATTTCAACTTTCATTGGCTTGAAAGGCTGCTAAAATGTAGGGGTTGGGGGTGGGGATACCAGGGATGGAAGCTTTCCCTGAATGACAAGCAGGACGCTCTATCTGTTAACTTCAGCATTTGCAAACTGACATTTTGCAGGGGTGAGGTCATATGTGCATACAACTCTGTTCTCCTCTGGCAATGCAAATAGCTCTATAATACAGAACCTGGATGGCCGTTTACATGTATGTGTGTCTTTTACCTAGAAAAGGCAAGGTGGACTAGCGGACTGGAAAGAGGGCTGGGAGGCAGAAACACTTCTGCTCCTTGAGGTGTTTGAAAAGTTACCCTGAGTCCATTTCTCTATGTGTCAAGAGGGAATAATTAACCCTCCCTTAACCACATAAGTTATGTTACAATTGTTTTGCAAACTGGAAGGATTTTAAATAATTATTCCCAATGGTACATAAAGAATAATTCATGTGCAATAAAAGGGAAAATTTACAGAGTTAAACTGAAACTCAGCATTTAAGATTGCAGTTCATTTTTGAAAACAGGTATTTGATACTCAGCATTCCTGTTCAAAAATAGTCCCAGATAAGAGAAACCACACAAACACACTTCAGTTCTCAACTGCACACCATTTGCCATTGAACAATTACTAAACTGTTGTCAGTTATAGAAGATTAACATATCAAAAAACTCATTCAGGGCAGTGAGAAGATCCATACCTTGAACACCTTCCAGGAGCAGATCGACCCCTCTCTGATAAAAGCTAATAGCAGCTTCATAGTCTTCTTCTTCCTCCTTCTTCAATGCCAGCTTGATCAGCTGCCCTGCTTTTTCCAAGTAGTCTTGCTTGCCAAGCTTCTGTTTTAAGCTCCCAGGAAACAGACTACGGTTCTCACTCTCCCTCTCGCCTTCCGACTTGTTCCACTCACTATCAGAAGCAGTAGCACCTTGTCCTAAGGACTCTGAAGCAAGGCTGAGACCAAAAGCTTTACTGGGAGAATTCTGGTTGGATGCCATTCCATCATCTAATTCAGCAAGGGAGTCTATATCAACTGTCAAAGAGATGAGGTCACTATCACTGGAGAGACCTGGAAGTATGATCACAAGTGTGTACAAAGAAATTAAAGTAGCTAGTATTAAATTAAAGTAGCTATTAGCATTTCTACTAATACACTGAGAAAACAATGTCTTCCTTGTTACCCACCATGTATACTTGAGGGAAACCTCCATAACTAACTGTCACATCTCTGATATAGGTCAGAATAGCTACAGATGCTCTGGTTTTCTCCTCTACCATAACCACCATTTGGAACTCTCCATCATTAGACTTGCCATTCCTGTTCCATTTTGAATTTCAAGCCTCCCGTACAGACTCTTTACGTCATCTGGCTTTAGATGCACATCATAAGCCTTCAGGTGTAAAACTAGCCTTGTACACCAGCACTCTCTTGGGACCTCAAGATTTTTGAATTCCTATAGAAGCAGCCCAATTTTCTCCAAGTTGTCGAAAGGCCAACTCTCAGATCAAATTCCTCATTAGGACAATGGAATGCAAGAAGGTTAAGCAACTAGTAGCCAATCTATATCTTCAGGGCCCACTCTCATTTAAGCTTCTGGAAATGACATGGCTAACTCTGCTTGTGTGGATGCATGAAGACACAAAATTAATTCAGACTGCAACTGCTTACTGATACAAAAAAAGAAAACTTCATTATTAAATTACCATTTTGATATTTGTGACTTATTTCACATAAATTTTATATATAGGTTTCTACTTTTTCTCTCTGTATATCTTCTCATGTACACAAAGGCATCAAGTTTCACCTCTCAAATATTATTTTTGGTATTTGAATCTATGCCAGATTATATAAAAAACACTATTTCTAGATCTCACCTCCACATTCTGATTGACTGGTAAGCGTCACATCATCAAGTCTACTTAAATCCTTTTGAACTAAAAAGGACAAAGGAGAAAGTTATTCCATATATTTTTATAATCACAGAATAAAAGTTAATTTAATATCAAGCAAAGGGGAGAACAGACTTATTGATGCATTCTTATCATTGATAAAAGTGTGTACAAAGCAACTGCACTCAAATCTATTTTCCAATGTATTCATTTTGGGTTGCCAAAATGGATACATCATTATAATGGTGATTTTAGTTCTTTCATTTCCTTGAGGCCTTAAAGGTTTAAAAAAAAATTAAAACAGGAAAAGCACCTATTTAGCCAGACTACATGAAGCCTCAGTACCATATTATTGCATCCAAATTCAACTGTGATGGCATTTAATCCCAAAATACAAACTATTCAGCTGTTTCACAATTCTTATAGAAATATAGGGTTTGAGGGACTTGCAAACATGCATACACTTTAAGAAAACACACAAGCTTCCAATAAGAAAAGCAATTCTCCAGAATAACATCCTGTACCAGATATCTGGAATAATCCATAAACTTGGCACTGCCAGCTTGATCGTAAATGAGAGCTTGTTTTATCTTGACACACGTACTCCCTGAAGCAATGAATGAACAGGCCACCAGCTAAAGAAAATTCTGAGATAAACCCTGAAGGCTTCTGTCTCATACATTACTATTGCACTCAAGACTCTCTACACACTGCCAAGTAATGTTTCGTGACTCAAGTGGTCCTTATAAACTAAAACAAGTTCCTATAGACTTTCTCCAGAGCACTAGGGACTGAGGAGTTTGGGGGGAAGGATGAGCAGATTCTTCTCCTGCAAAAGTGGTCTCTGGTGAGAAGAGGAGTGAGGGGAAGAGAAGGTAGGAGGTAGAGCCACTCCCACTTGCTCTTTCAGGGAAAGGCCTGGGGGAAGGCAGAGAGTGCAGAGCACTACTGTTCTTTTGCAGAAGGTAAGGAGAGAAGCTGGAACAGAGCGGCACAGGCACCACCAGAATTCTAAAAGGAGCAGAAAGAGGAATAGAGATTGCTGGGAAGCAGACAGTTTCCTGCCCTAGGGCTCAGTGAAAGAGAAGGAGGGCAGAACTCATCAGGAGGAGAAGGGGAGAGCGGTACAAGGGGACAGCAGACAACCCTACGGGAGTCTTTATTTATACAGCCCTAGCTGGGTTTTAATTGGCAGCTACTTGTGGAGCCTGGAGCTGCGGGCTCCACAATTTCAGCCCTCTCCCAGGCCAGGGTTTAACCCTTGTCAGGCCAGTGTGGGGCACCTACCCTGCCACACAGAGGAAGAGCAGTTCAGGGACATGGCCCCTGCTCTGTGCCTGACTGCCATACATAGCTACAGACAGAAGTTACAGCTTTTTATCTCCCTCTGAGGTTCCTCTATTGAGCAGCCTCAAAGTGATTCAGCCAATGGCCGTGCACCTACTACAGGAGCCACCATGCCAAGGAGAGAGATACAAGCAGAGCAGCAGCCACTCCTATAATCTGGCTCTACAGGGAAGGGCATTCCAGTCTTCATGGATCACTGATTTACATTCCCCCAGTCAAGCCCACTGATGGGGGGAGGAGAGTAGATAAAGGGGACAGTTGTCCCAGGACCAGGGGCTCCCACCACCACTATTGCTACTTACTGCTCTGAGTGGCTCTCAGGGCTGGGGGGAAGAGGGGTCCTGTGCTGCGGACCTGTCTAAGGGTTGGCTGCCCCAGCCCTGTCCCTTCAACTTATGGCCCGGCCCTGCACACCTTACCCAGGGGCCTAGCAAGCCTGTCAGCCCCCCTGCACCCAGTCTGTCATACCTAGGGATGTAATAGTGTAGTTGATTCACCGATAAGCAAAAGCACATATATAGGTTAATGCTATAGACTACACACATTCCCCCACCCTTGCCAGTAAGTTTTTAGCAGGCTGGCCAACAGCCCAGATCAGTCCTGACATGTCCCAGTCTGGGAACTACCCCCACTGTGGCTCTGCATTTAAAGTGTATTAGGAGTCAGGCAGGCAGGTAGTCTGGCTCAGTTGTGGCTCAGGCCAGGACTGGGAGTTCAGCCCCCTCCTTCCCAGACAGGAGCTGCTGCCACCCCATGCTGCTGCCTCTGTATCAGAGGCAGGAGCACAGGGCAACAGGCAACCAGTCCATGAGGGGATCTGGTTTTTAAACTGGCTCCCTTCGTGGACCAGCTCCTGCCTCCCTCCCGCCCCCCAACCCCCAACGCTGCTATCGCTGATATAGAGGCAGCAGTGCAGAGTGGCAGGGGACTCTTCAGGAGTGGGGCTGGAGCACACTGTCAGCTGGCCCCATCCCCAGGAACTACAGAATAGGGATGTTAAGGACTAGTCAACTATCCGACAATGCATCAACTATTTGATTAGTGAATTACACGATACTTAACATCCTTACTACAGAATAGCTGAGTAACCAATAGGAAGTCATGAGGTTAATCAACTATTCAATTAAATGATATTTAACATTCTAGTCCAACCAGAGGACAGGATACAGGGAGAAAAATAAGATTAGGAAGGCCTTTTACCCTCAAGCATCAGCTACTATGAAGTAAAAAATAAAGTTACACACAATTATCCAGGTCTGAGAAATCTTCGCACTCTTCATAAGATTATGGACCTGCTAGATGCAAGATTCCAAATTAGGTGAAACCTTGGCTTGTTCTGGTGTAGGTACTTCTCTATTCACATGTAGTTTGTTGCTTGGAATGGCCTTTCAGATGCTGACTCAACCATATTGAACGATTTCCTCTTTTATATATTGTAATGAACTGGTCTCTTGCACCCCGCCCAAGTTCGGGGGACAATAAAGTCCCCTCGTACCGAGGGACCACTGACCCGCCTTTTGGTATAGCGGCAGGGGCCAATCGCAAGGTGGGTCGCACGGGGGGACCAGGGAGGGGACTCGGGCCCTCCCTCTCTCCGAGTCCCAGCCCAGGGCCCTAAGGCAGGGGAAGGTCTCCCTTGCCAATGAGGGGGGGTTGAGACCCCTTAACCCTCCATTCACGGGGTCCGCGGCCCTGCCCTGGGCCTTCTCTCCCCGGTTCGGGTCAGTCAACCCCCCATCGCGGCGAGAGACTCACCGCACGCTGCCGCCTCCGAGCCTCCACAGGGGTTTTCGGCTCCTCCGGTTCTCCCCCCGACTCCTGGCCCCTCCTGCCTCGTCACATATATAGATCCAGAAAATGAGGAAATCTTTACATGTAAACAAATCATACTGACACAAAAAAGTCTCTCTCCAAGATTGTCTGTTTCAGAAGAAAATACAATAGATGTTGATTTTCCTGTTCTCTGAACTTTAGAAATGCAGATGTTTTTGGTTAGGTTGCTGAGAGTCACTAGTTGTTAAAATACTTTTTGCCTCTCACATATATAGATCCAGAAAATGAGGAAATCTTTACATGTAAACAAATCATACTGACACAAAAAAGTCTCTCTCCAAGATTGTCTGTTTCAGAAGAAAATACAATAGATGTTGATTTTCCTGTTCTCTGAACTTTAGAAATGCAGATGTTTTTGGTTAGGTTGCTGAGAGTCACTAGTTGTTAAAATACTTTTTGCCTCTTGAAATGAAGCCTCTCTCTTTGCCCCCAGGTTTTGAAACACCAAAGTCAAATAAATAAATCTAAGTACTAGCTCCATTCATGGTAGTATCCAAGTGCTTAAAAAAAAATCACAACCAAGATTTTGAAATCTGTTAAAATCAGCGGCCTGACTTCAGAAGGGCCGAGCATCCAAAGCAGTTTATTTGAAATCACTGAAAGCTGCAGCTGCTCAGCCCTCCTGAAAACTCAGACTTCAGGAGCCTAACGTCAAGAATCATAGAACTATAGAGCTGGAAGAGACCTCAGAAGGTCATCAAGTCCAGCCCCCTACTCTAGGCAGGACCAATCCCAACTAAATCAACCCAGCCAGGCATAGGAATGCGCAGCACATTTCATTAGGGTGTGCACCCTAAGAATTTTTAAAAAGTGTATTTTGACCCCTCTTAGCCACACCCCTGACCCTGTTAGCCACGCCCCTGACCACCATTGGCCACACCTCTGGAGGTAACACTCTCTGGGCAAGATGGACACATGACCAAAAGGTGTCATGTGACCCCTCCCAAGGACTTTTCCCACTATCCTCCTACCAAGAGGGATTAATTTGCCCCCCCCCCAAAAAAACTCCCCTCATGCAACTATCCTGCAGTTGCATTACCCCAATGTGTGTGACATTAACTTGGGGGCGGAGAAGCTGGGGGAAGTGTTCCCTCTAAGAGTTTCCTCCCATGGGTAGAATGAATTTTGTGTTGTGCACCAGTACTGAGTTCATGGGGCTTGTTTGGATGTGTCACTGTGGCACCCAAGTTCTTAATAAATATCTCATAAACCTCTACCTTTTCCCTCTGTTGCCACGTCTCCTCCCCTTGCTCCATCAGCTCCCCTGGTGCCTGCTGCCCCGCAACTCCTCACCCTCCTCTGCTGTCCTGATTCCTGCCCTTCTCACTGCCCTCAGCCTTCCTGAAACCTGTCTTCTCTCTCCCCCCCACCCATGCCCACTTCTCCAGTTGCCCCACTCTGATCATGTGAGCTATCCCTCCTCATTCCCTCTCCTAACACCTCCCTCTACACATCTGCCCTGCCTCTCTCCTCTGGTGCTGGTCCCTCCCCTGCAGGTGCTGGCACCTGCCCCTTCCTTTCCCCCTGCACCCTCCTGGTGCCCCCTTTTTCCCTGATGCCCACCTACTCACCACGCTCTGCCCCCATTCCCCTCATGCCCCTGTGCCCTCACACATGCCTTGCTCCATCCCTGCCTTCCTCATGCCCACCCCTTCTTTCAAGCCTTCTCCCAGCACCTTCCCCTCCCCCCTCTAGACCCTAATGCCCATACCCTCTCCTCTCCCAGCATCACCCTGTCCCCCCCCCTCCCACTGACACCTCCCCTCCTTCCCTTTTCCTCATTGTCTCCACTTGGCCCCCCTGGCATTTGTCTCTCCTCCATCCTGTCCCTTGGTGCCTCCCCCTTTCTTCTCCGGACCTGCCTC